TCCCTCAACCTTTCCATCTCCCCTTTAAGAATTCTGTTCCAGGGGGCAGCGAGGTGGCGCAGTGGATAGAGCACTGGCCCTGAAGTCAGAGGACCCGAGTTCAAATCCGGTCTCAGACCAGACCAGACACTTGACACTAGTTGTGTGAGTGGGCAAGTCACTTAATCCCAATTGCCTTAAAAAAAGAAATTGTTGCAGACAAACTAGATTACTAGCTCTTTCCTAAACTTGCTACTTCACACCTCCAGTCTACTCCATGCTTAAAATGCGCTGGTTCATCTACCCTTCTCAAGATCCTTCCATTCTTACAAGTCTTCCCAGGTCCTCTTTAGTTGTTAATACTATCTCCTCAGTTTTTCATGTACTGTTATTTGTGTACATGTTTCTCCCCCAGATAAAATGCAATCTTGATAGCAGCAATTTTTTCATTGATGCTTTTGTATCCTTAGCACCTAGCATAATGACCTGTACATAGAAAGCCCCTCAGGTTTGTTGAATTAAAACATATTTAAAGGGCTGCTACACAGCAAGTACTGTGCTTCTAGTGGAAATACAAGAGCCTATTATCTAGTAGAGCTCAGGCAACCCTAGTAACAGATCAGAATTAGAAGGGATGTTAATGGCACCTACACTTTTCTGCTAGATCTGGAAGGGCATTCAGAGAAAAGACAAGGTCACTGCTCTCAAAAAGAACTCAAAAGACTTTTGAAGAAACTTATGTCAGTGTAATCCTTTAATTTAGATAGGACCAAGACCATCAAGATCTCACACTACTCTTTTCTGAAACTTTCTTTTCATATTATTCCCCTCAATGACCTCTACATTCCTGCCACACTGGAAAAACTCTCACTTTTAGCCTTCTTGCCTCCCCTCACAGTTCCTCATGTCTATTTAATCTTCACCTGAATTCCTATTTATTCTTTAAAGGAGGCTTTCATTCCTTACTGCTTTAAAAAAAAAAACAAACAAACCAAAAACCAACAACTTTCCCTTCAGGCTTCATGTGCCACTTTGAATACTTCTACTCTAATGATTTTGAAATATGAATCTGTTGTTGGCTTCTCTATAAGAGTTCCATGAAGGCAGGGACCACTTTTACTTTCCCCCAAGCAGTGTTTTGCATATAACTGGTGCTTTAAGAAATGCTTTAACTGAATGACCAATGGTCAAATAAAGGTATATGTTAAGTACCTGGAAAAAAATAAAGTTTCTGCAAGTGGTTTTAAAAGCACTCACCACTTTTCCCCTCTCTAGTAACTTAATATGGATTAAAATGCATTTAACCAAAAGTGGATTTTTGTCAGTAACACCATGTTCCCACAGGTATGGTCCAGCACTGCTGTATAAAAGTGAGGAGCCAGTTTTATTAATGGAATCCAAAAAATGTTAGCGGTGGAAACCTTATACAGCTAGTCCACTTCTCTTTTTACAGGGGCTGATAGTCCATAGGCGAAGCAACCTTTCCCATGTCGCACAGTGAGCAAATCAGATCTTGAGCCATCTAGCGCCTTTTCCTGACATATCAAGGGACCAGATAAATTCTGAATCTGTTTTTTGAGCACCTGTTATGCACATAGCTTAATGCTAAGCTTCTAATGGAGTCACTCACAAACAGCAAATACCACAATATTTTTAGGACTAATAAGTATGCAAAAGGAGTATTCAAAGCCTTGAATGCTTAATTCACATAGGGCTGGGGATCTAGATCACTTACTGTATCCTTAAGCCTTTTTTTAGGCTAACAATTTCTCTTAAAATTTCCCATTTAAGCACTGATCCAACAGCATATGTGTGAATTCCAGGGAGGAGTTCAAAGATTAGGTAATGAAAATTTGGAAACCAGTATCCCAGAGCCTCACAGTTCCCATCCCAGGTTCCATCAATATAAACTTAATTCCTTTCCTTCACCACTGGACAAAACTTACTAGAATATTAGATTGACAATCATAAGGAACAACTTAACACGTCAGCTGGAAGGAACCTTAAAGAAATCTCTTGTTCCATGGTTTCACATTAGAAGAAATTGAGGCCTGGAAGGGAAAAGTGATGTTAGCCCAAGGTCTCACTAGCAGAGCTGGGACTAGAACCCAGTTTCTCTGCATTCTCAGTCTAGTATGATTACCCAAAACATTACCTCTCAAATCCAGTGCACTTTCTCTGCATTCGAAGTCAGATAGAGAAAAGTGTATTTATTTACTCAGGCTCTGGGGACATTTCATTTGTTTAAATGTTTTTATTAAAAAAAAAAAATTAAAGACCTCCATGGCACAACTTCTTCCCAGCACAGTTAGGTTTTTAGTTAGATCAATTACAATACAATTACAACCAAGAAATTTTTTTTCTGACTTAACTAAAAAAGGGGGTGAGGGGGCACACTTCAAACAAGGTTAAAAAAATATGCTTTTAAAAAACCTTTAGAAGTAATTGCCAACAAAACTTTCACATATTGGCATCCAATTTCCTGCTATCAAATGCAATGCAAAGACGCAGGGAATGCTGAGAAATGTGCTCCAATACAAGGTGTACAGATGAGGTAATTTACAACACAGAAGTTGTTACTCTGCAAACCCTTGCCCACCTGCCCACCCACCCACCCCAGCCTCTTGTGTTAAACTCTCTTTCCTCTTTCCAGATTCATGCATGTGCAGTGGCTCTAAAGTAGCATATTTTTTTTTTTTGCTTATTTATTTTTGTAAAAAAAAAGCCCATGGGTGGCATTCCTTCCAGGCTTGTTTCAATTCCTTGTAAGGCTGATGGGTGTTAGAACCTCCAGCTGTTTGTAGCTGCCCTCATCAACCTCAGCTACAACTACATTTTCTGAACTAGGAGGAAATGAATATTGACAACTCTCCCTCCCCTTTTGAAAAAGAGAAGAGTTCCTTAGAAAGAGTCCTGTTTAAATCACAATTCAGTGCAAAACCTAATCACGAGTTGCATCCCTGGCACAATGGTTGGTGCCATCTGTTCCTGTGCACAGTCAACATGGTAGCTTTCACATCATTTTAGGGCCTAAATAGGTAAAAGTATAATAAATATTTACTCCAAGTGGTCATGGGGAATAAAAGTACACTGATGTGCATTAGGAATTTCTCCCCTTCAGCTCTCCCTTGGCTTCATATAGTGAGATAAAAAGGAGGCCACAATTTTCTCCTTTTAAACCCTATTGCTCCTCCAAGCTCCAGTACTCACTACTTACTACCACTACTATACCTCAGTACATTCACTGAAGCAAAAATGGGTTATAAAGTTAGACAAGTTTATTAAATAGAACAACCCAAGCAACTGCTTACACACGACACTCAAGTGAGAGGCTTGTGGAACCACTGAAGGTCAGGGAAAATAGACTTTAGGGCTTGAGGAGGGATTGGCAAAGAATTCCTGACCCTGAAAAAAGCAGCTACTGCAATGGGATAAGGGGAGAAAATCCAGAGCTGATGCTTTGTCATTGTGCTTAAAAAACTAGGCTTCTCCAATGGTGCACCCAATAAAGTTTGGTGGCTAGGTTACAGTGCAGAGTGTATCCACACACATACATATACACACACACACACACACACACACACCACGCACCCTTTTCCCATCCCAAATCCTGGCATGGCTGAGACACAAAAGGAGTTTTATGGCAAAGTATCCTTATTCCCCAACATTTTGGCTTGATGTTTCTAGAAGGCTTCTATGCACTGCCCAGTATCATTCAAAGTGGGTGAGAGAATGGAAGAGGTTGCTTCCCCCAATCCATAAAGGGCTGGCTGCAGGCCCCTTCAGTGTAAAGTGACACACCCATCCAGCAAGATCTTTACACAGGGACTTAAATCTAACCTTGATAAATAAAACCAAACGTTTATTTACACCAAAGAATTCCAACACTGGATCTTTCACAGAGGAAGGACAAAGTAGTATATATATATACACACAGCAAGGAATGTGGAGCAGGGCTGAAATAAGGGTGCTTTGTCGTTGTCAACAGTTAATATTGTTCCACAACTACGGATCTACTGCTTCACTTTCATTTAGAGAGACTTTGCTTTGCTCCTGCCCCTCAGCATATATTTATGAGACTGAGGTCACAGGTGTTCTCACTGGATGGCACGTGAGGGAAAGGGGCAAATGGGGGGAAAAGAAGCCTCCAAATGTTACTTGGTGTGGTCTGATGTCCCATCAGCTCTAGCTCTTTAACAGCCACTAGCATGAAATTGGTATAAACAACGTTTTGGGGTTTTTGTTGTTCTTTTTTTAAAAAAAGGCAAGCGGTTATACCCAGTAACAAATTTAATGCAAAATTGCAAGTAAAAAAATCAGGGAAGGTTTCTCCTTGTCTCCCCCACCCCTCATCTGCCATGTGAAAAAAGATCTTACCTATAGCACAGTCAACTCTACTAGGGAACCTTGACTGGAAGGGGAATAAAGGAAGAAGACTGGGGAGGCAGAGGGGAAGAAGGCAGGGCAACTGTTTAATTTTCAAACTAAACTTTCAAACTAAAATTACATGCAAGTGAGCTGAATTTAGGGTTAGGTCAATAAGACATGATTCAGACTAAGTGGAGGTTTTTAGGACCTGTATGCACTTTGGGTAAACTTTCAACATCTATGTGACTGTGTTCCATTGGTTGGGTCAGTGTACCCTACTGGATTCCAGCTCCTCTGGAGTTGAGTGTTAAAGTGACCAGTACATTACTATAAAGAATTGGGCCCTCTTCCTCCTTCCCCTTCCTTCCTGCTTCCCTGGAAAAGCTGTATTTTGGTAATCTCTGGAGAAGAGCACAAAGACAACAGACCTCCCAAGGTGTGGGCTGGTGGAGGAGTAATGGTGGGAACTGGAAGAGATTTCCAGCTAAATGCAACAGCCAGGAAAAGGGATGGTTCATCATTGTTCTTGAGATGAAGAGCTGGGATTGGGGTTGGGTTGGGGGGGGGGGGCAGGGAATTGTCCGAAAAATCCATCTGCAGGAAATTTTTCAGGGAATCCCCCGAGTTACGAAAAGTTCGAGTAAAAAAAAAAAAAAAAAGAAAAAAAGAAAAAAATCAGCCTATAATAATTTTTTATAATGACTGAACTACTATAAATCCACAAGCAACTGTTCAGACACGGCGCCTCCGAAGTGTTCCATCCCCTCCCCTGCCAGGCACAACTGCATCAAAGGGAGAGATGGAGCGGAACCCCCTCCCCCGCCCGGCTCTGCTCAGGCATCAGGAGACAGAGGCCGTCATTACTGCTGAGCGCCTGCGGTAGCTGGAACTGGCATCCCCAGAGGGTTGGCAGCAGCAATCACTGGCGAGCCTGCTAGAGGTCCAAGTGGTGAAGGGGTTGGCACTGAAGTAATCCCTGAAACCAAATAACAGAGAATAAGCTAGGGATCGTGACCAGATGGAAGCTTCTATCACTGGGTGGCGTGGAACCTTTCTTCCAAAGTTTGACACACTCATGGAGAAGACTGGGTTAGCATTATTAAATGTCAATGAAAACGGCTTCAAGTGACTATGCTTTGGAAACTCTAAGTTAAAGTGGAATTTGGTTCTGATTCTGCTTGACGTCCCCTAACCTCTAATCAGCATATCTGAAATTTTAAGGCTGTCTCAATCAAATAATTTCTAAATATGGACTTTATTGCTTTCTCTTTGGTGTTTGACCACACAGTCTCTTTGAATAAAGAGGCTCATATAGAATGCCACATTGTACCATATTAAAATACAATTTGGAGTCTGGCTCTAGCCCTGCCAGGAGATGTGTGTATCCTCACTTCTATTCTACCTGACCCAGCCTAACTCAGCTTTATTTTTACCTCTACTATCCCCAAATTCCACTGGAACATGACCTCTTCTTTTTTTCTTTTTTTTTTTGGTCATGAGACCACATCATGCCTTGCTTGGAATTATTCCTCTAATTTCTCTTAATGTGACACAAAACCAATAAATGAGCTCTCAAAGGCTTTTACAAGCATTTAAAAGAACGTGAATAAATAAAACCTTACAAAAAGTCAGGTTAGATGGTACCCAACTCTCATGCTAATGACCAGTATGAACAAGACAGAGTAAGATAGTTTCTGCTCCTGATTTACTAGTATTTGGCCTTGGCTCTAAGCAAATCTGCTGTTTTGTCCTTGCAGCTGAAGGAGAAGCAAGACCAGCCAACAGACTAAATAAAACAGATAATAAATTCCAGGTGGGATTGAGATCTTGGTAGGTCTCCTCCTTTCCTGAATAGACTGGGTGGCCATCCACCCCCAATCCCAAGTATATGTATTAACAAATAGTAACATTCCTAAGATCAACAGCTATGGCTTCCTTTGAATAATCTTGTCCTACCTTTTATAAAGGTTCTTCCACCCACTCAGCTAAGGAGTTGGCAACATTGAGCAATGAAGATGATGTTTAATAGCTAGGCTCATTCTCAATGTCTGCTCCCTACTAGGAATTATGGAGCCCAAAGAGGGAAACAATACCCAGTGGAATAAAAATACCACCGTTATCTCTTCCCCTTTCCCTTCTAAATTTTCTATTTCCGTTTCTGAAAGTCATATAATTTTCCCTACCCTTTACAAGTGAGCTGAAGCCTCTGGTAATTAATTACTCCTTTCTAAAGATGACTTGCAGGAATCATTTGTTGATGCTAATAACAGCATCCAGAAGGGGAAGGATATAAAAATCCACCACTCTCTTCCCTAAGATACCAGAAGAACTGACCTGACATCATGTTGGCGGTGCTGACAGGAGTGCTGCCGCTTGGCATGTTGGATGTGCCCATCCGAGCCTGGTCCTTCACAATTGGGTCTATGAAAGAGACAATATGTTTAAGTTCTGTTTTGTTTGAATACAGTCTGGGGATTTTATGTATGAAGTAGCAAACTGGTTCTTCATAGTTCTAGAAAGGGAAGAACTATGTCTTGCTGCTGAAAGCTATAAGGAGGCAAATTCTGGCTTGACACAAGCTTAACAAATCAAGATTATCCTAAAATAGAAACACATTCCCCCTTCCTGGAGGTGTTCCAATAGAGACTGATCATGTATCAGGAATGTTCTAATTTGGACTATCATCTCTGAGATTATATGACTTTTAAGTGACTAATCCCTTAAAATTAAAATTCTTGATGTTTTGTTTTTACATCATCCTCATTTCTAAATATCCTGACTCACACCTCTCCTATTTAGCAAGTCCTCTCTTTTAACAAAGATTTTAAGGAGAGAAAAAAAGCAGTTCAGCCAACCAAACAAATCAATTGTGGCTAAGAATTTACACAATATTCCACTCACATTCAGAGTCCCCAACCTCTGCAAAAAGGAAAAGAAGGGTATTTTCCCAATATTCTCAGGAGCCAAGTTTAGTCAAGGCATAGTGTTTAGATTCATTTTGTTGATGCTATTTTTCTTTCTCTTTATATGGGGCATATACATAGTACAGTGGGATAGAACATTGCACTTGGGAGTCAGGAAGATTCAAGTTTGAGTCCTGCCTCAGTCAGACACCTGGGCAAGCCACATAACTGCTACTTGACTCAGTTTCCTCATATATAACATAGGGATAATAATAACACCTGCTTCACAGGATCTAATATGAGGATAAAATGAGAACATCTGTAAAGCACACTGCAAACCTTAATGAGCTATATAGATTTTAACTATTATTATTATATTCTTGTGATCATCTGCTATATCACATATGAACATATTTATATATGGCAGCTTGGTGTAACTTAGGACTTAGAATTAAGGATCAAGTTTGAATTCTGCTTCAGTAACTTACTAGCTGTCCAACCCTGGACAAGTCCTCACAACAACACTGTGAGGCTGCTACTGTTATTATCCCCATTTTTCAGGTAATAACGGTAGCAGCCTCACGTTGTTGTTGTGAGGACTGAATGAGATAACATATAAAGTGCTTTGTAAACCTTAAAATGATATATAAATACTAGCTATTTATTGGTTGAGGTTCTGCTTTTCAAGTAACTTAGTTGTATGATTAAATTTGGAGACACCCTGAATCACATATAAGTAAAATAAAAGAAAATTTCTTCCCCATTGTTAAACTTTATTCTTAAACCACATGGTATGATTATTTTTTGGTCACGCAGGTCTTTATAGGCTTCAATAAAGCAAACATTATTCATTTTGGCTAGAACAGTACTTCATAGCACCTAGTACTATACTATTTGACAATTGCTAAATATCTTACATGAATTTAACAGAGATAAGGTTAGTTTTACTGAAATCTAAGGATGGAGGTGTCTGGGGCATGGTATACATATTTGATGCCTATTTGAGGCCAGTTATCTTTGCAAGAAATGCGACAATGGGGTAGCTAGGTGGTGCAGTGGATAGAGCACTGACCCTGGAGTCAGGAGGTCTTGAGTTCAAATCCACCCTCAGACCCATAACACTCACTAGCTAAGTGACTTTGGGCAAGTCACTTAACCCCAATTGCCTCAGAAGAAAAAAAAAAAAAGGATTTGGAGTTGAAGTGTGTATGTAGTTCAGCAGAGACATCACTATACTACTCTTAGAACAATAATTCCAAAGAAGCTATAAACTTGTAAAACATGACAAGTTAGATTTCTGGATGTTATATAATGTTAAGGTCTGGCAGAACTAACTCTCAGGAATACAGGATGTTATAACTAGAAGGGACCGAGCTTTTTAATCATCTGATATAATCCCTTCATTTTAGAGGGGAAAACTGAGGCCCAGAGAAAGATTGTAAAGCACTTTTGGAAACCTTAAAAGTGCCATATAAATGTTGGCTACTAGTATTACTGTTGCTCAAGGCCACAAGGTAAGGTAATGGCAGAGCCTGGTCTTTTGATTCCCACTCCATGGGTTGTTTCATTCAGATACTGTAGGTAATCATTCTCTTCACATACAAATTATGGCACAGTTAAAAAAAACAACTTAATGTGATTTGTAGTTCCACATTTTTTTTTTGATATATCCTACTTCTCATAGACACAAAGGAATTTAGAACTGGAAGGATTCTCATTTATCATCTAGTTCTCCTTACCTAACAATGATTCTAGAGAGGAAAATGAAGTCCAGGAGGACACAAATGACTTGCAAAAGGTCACAAAGCTCTTGAGCTGCAGAGCCAGTACTACAGAAACCTTAGTGAACCTGATTCATGGTTCAATGATCTTTATTTATACTGTACCAAACTACCTTTATCATTATAGTCTCATGAGAGGAACAATAAATATAATGCTACTAGTTTGTTCTGAACTCTTCTAACCAGTGATCAGATTGCCAAATAAAAGTATAACCCACAAGGACTTTGTTGTTAGGGTGGCAGGAGTCACAGGATCACGAGGGAAAAGAATTTAGAAGATTTTACTCACAGAAATAAGGGTGTTCCATGGCCTCTCTTGCCGTGAGTCGTGACTGGTGATCATATCGCAGCAGTTTGTCCAAGAAATCAAGGGCTTCTGGACTGACCAGGTGCTGGTTTTCACTGTGAACAAAACGCTCCCATCGCTTACGGGAGTGCCTGAAGAGCAACGAAGGAAGACAACAATTAGACAAGTACAACTGTTGGTGAGAGGTTTCATTTCTCCTTAGAGAGCCGGGAGCTGAGCCTGTGGCAAAGTGATCAAAATTATCAACAGTTGCTACTGGACTCCAAGGACAGTTTTACTCTATTCTTGCCACTTGGTGGCAACAAAATAAATTGAAAATATGAAGTATATGTTGTTGGGGGGAAGAAAAACTGACTTACATATTTCTGGAATCAACAATAATCAAGTTACTTCAGGGGGTCATATGCTAACACAGATAGGGGAGACTCATGAAATCTGCCCTTTTCTCTCTCCTAATATTAACACTAAATTTCAGCAATGGCTATATTTATCCCTTGCCCAATGACAGTCTAGCTCCAAAAGACTCTAACTTTCATTTTAATACGCAATTATAAGATACTCTTATGTAATCCCTAGTGATGAAGAACCAATTTCCTATATGTAAGGTACAGAGTTGTAATTCAGAGCATGTAGTTTCTTTTCGCTCCTTCCTCGACAGCTATCTATTTTGAAGCAGCAGGTTAAGTGAATATGAGGATGTGACTGAATTTACTGAGCTTTTAATACAGATTTCATTCGCTGAAAATGAAACCAAACAGGTAACAATAGAGCTAGAAAGGGCCTTAAGGATCATCTAGTCCAACCCACTTATTTTGGAGAGAAGGAACCTGGAACTCAAGAGAAGTGATTTGCTCAAGGTCAAATAGTGAGGAAGTAGTAGTGCTAGGCCTAGAACTGAGGGTCTTTTTATTCATAGTTCAGTGCTCTTTCCGCTCCATTTCCAAACATAACACTAGTCACTTTAGGGTTGGAAAACTGCCATTCAGTCCCAACCACACTTTTAAAAATATGTTTCCTGTATATAGTGTGCTGCAGCACTGGAGCAATGTGGGCAACTAGAACTTAACTGTTTTTCCTTAGTCTATAATGGTCAAGATTTCCTTCTGAGAAAAAAAAAAAGCCAACCCTCCTTGCCTCAGCCCAACAATGTCTTTCCTTTTCTGACTTACCTGCCCAGGATATCATTGAAACGTGGATCTAGTTCAATGTTGTACTTGTCGATATAGTCATATAAGTCTTCTGTCCCCAGCACCTTTGCTATCCTTACCAACTAAGTTAAATAACAAAAAACAAAACACAACATAAGCATATGCATAAAGATAAGACTAATCAACTGAAAGGGGATTACCAATTATATCCTATTTCTAAAACCAATGGAGTTACCCACATTTTTTAAGGAGGTGGAGGAAAATGGCAGACTTTCACATTGACCTGTAAAAACCTGCTAGCCACAGTATTTACTAGGCAGACTAAACATGGTGCCAATCCTTATACACACACACACACACACACTCTTTTAGGAACACTTGAAAAAATAGGTGCTATGGTCAAAAGAGAATGGAAAAATCCTAGGATCAGTAACTAATCCTTTCATGGATAAAGACTGCCATAGAACAACTTTGATCAAGCTAGTGAGAATATCAGCATTCAAAAGACTCTTCTTGAGATCTGTAGGTGTCAGTACACATCTTTTTATGATTCCAGATTTTTATCACTGATGGTGGCTCTTGGTTTTTACTCCAGTAGACTCATGAATGAGAATCTACTTTTATAGAGTCAGGAGGTCCCAAATAATTCCACAAGAGAAGGTGGTTAGGTCCTACTAACACTCTTTCACATGTGCGAGCTAATTTTTAAAAAGATATTTTGCTAAAAATCTCAAGTCAATCATATCCCAGGGTCAGATAAGCTACATTTGTGATGTTTAAGATGTGAGATGCACATCTTTATTTGACAGGTAAGAAAATGAGTCTACAGAGGTCAAGTGATAAATTATTCAAGATCACATAGCCAGTTAGTGACAAAACCAGGATTTAGAACCCAAGTTTCCTAATTCTCAATCCAGTACTATTTTTTCACTTAACATATCACTTATACTAGCTGTGAGACTCTGAGCAAGTCTATCTGTAAAATAGGGACTGTAATACTACTCAATTTGAAGTCAGAGAAGCTGTATTCAAATCCTGGTTCTGCTACTCATTTATGTGACTTTGGACAAGTCATTTTTACTTCTTTGGATCTTATGCTTCCTTGTCTGTAAAATGAGAAGGTTGGAGTAGATGATCTCTAAGGTGCCTACTTAAGGTCTAAATTTCTATGACCTCTGTACCTTAAGCTATAACTCAATGGATTGGCATGATGATCAAATGAGGTAGATTACATAAAATGTTCATATAAACGAAGCTATTATTACAGGCATACCTCTGTTTACCTCAAGTACAATCAACTGGTCAACAACAGTCTGAGTTAGTGCTTGAACCCTCGGTGGCATTAACTCTGCCCCTCCTCCCCATGTCAGTCTGTTGTCTCACTGCTTACTTCATGGGAATAGACATGCTACTTGTGGAATGTTTCAGTGACTTTTGTTTTGTCCAACTGTGTATTTTTACAGGACCAATTAATGACATTAGGTGAGATATACTTGTATTAGTAGACATAAAGCAAGAGAAGCTCCTTTCTCCCTAGTTCTATCAAAACACCATCTCACCCCTTCTATAGGAAGAGACAGGACAAGATTGATAAAAAAAAACCAAATTAACCCTTTAAACATTCAACATAAAATCTGTGAAAATGTTTGGGGAGATATTTCCAGTCGTGATGCTTGCAAATTTCAGTTCAAGAAATGGTGTTTTCCTGATAGCAAATACATGTCATAGCATATCACCTGATCATAATTGTCATGTCCATGGAAAAATGGCTCCTTCCGGAAGATCATGCTTGCCAACATACAACCCAAGCTCCACATATCCAAACTGTAATCATACATCTGCACAAAAGAACAGAGAATACAGAAATCCTTTGGCCTTGTTCATGATTAACTTGGTCCAATCTTTAACAAGGTTCCTAGGGTTGTGTATTAAGTTCCACTTAGAATTTATAAAGCATTTGATAAATCTAAAATGTCAGCTGACCATAACTTAGTAAGGAGGAAGGGCACTGAATTCAACAGACATAGAGTTAGGAAAAAAGTGCTAATCTAAAGATTCACATGTATGATACCTACATTTCTAATTCAGATTTGGTAGGTACTACTGATTTAGTTACAATATCTTATATTATTCCCATAAGTTTAGGATCAAATACAAACACATTCTTTTCATCAGGTTCTTCATGTGGTAGGTACTCTGTTCATTGAAGTTAGTGGAATTTCACATGTGAAATGGGTCAAACTAGGGATATATAAATCAAAGAGGAGATGAAGTACTGGAAAGAATGTCACCCTGGGAGTGAGAAGACCTTGGTTTTAGTTCCAGCTTTATTGTAAGTCAATTGTGTGATCTAGAAAAAATTACTTTGAGTCTCAATTTCCACATGCGCAGAAAGGAGTGTTTGACTTGATATTTAAGGTCTCCTCCAATTCTAAAATTTTATTATCCTGAGTTATTGGGAGATGAAAGATGCGCTCAAGTATATGAAGAACTGTTCATGCAGAAGAGTGGTTAGACTTGTTCCTCTTGGCTCCAGAGATGAGAAGTAGGACCAAAGGTTTGAAGCAACAAGTAGGCAGATTATGAAATATAATGAAGAACTTTCAAACAATTTGAGTTGCTTGACATTGGGATAGGATGTCTCACGAGGAAATGCATCTTCAATAACTAGAAGGTCAGAATATTCAGAAATAGCAGGACCCTTAAAGAGCTTCTAGTCAGTCAAAAAACATTTGTTAAGCACCTACTATGTGCCAGGTACTGTGCTAAGTAATGGAGATACAAAGAAAGGTAAAAGACAGTCTCTTCTTCAAGAATTTTAGGTGGGACTTGAAGCAAGACAGGAGAGGAGGGAGAGATGAAGAGGAAGAGCTTTCTAGGCCTGGGGGACAGTGAGTGAAAATGAGCAGAATCAGGAAATGGAATGTCTTGTTCTAGAATCACTGAGGAGGCAAATGTCACTGATCACAGAGTAAGATGTAAGAAGACTGAAAAGAAGAGGCAGGAGAGAGGAGGTTAAGTTATGAAGGGCTCTGAACACCAAATAGAGGATTTTGTATTTGACGCTGAAAATTACACGGAGTCCCTAGAATTTATTTGTTGGGGGTGGCGATATGTTTTGTGTGTGTGGTGTGTGTGTGCACGCGTGCGTGTGACATTATCAGACCTGCGCAATAGGAAGATCACTGTGACCACGAAGTGGACGATGGACTGGAGTGGGGGTGAGGAGCAGGGAGACTTATTGCAAGGAGACCAACCAGCAGACTACTGCAATAGTCTAGGCATGAGGCGGTGAGTCTTCATCAGGGTAGTTGCAGTGTCAGAGAACAGAAGAAGTTTTGAGAGGTGTTAGTAAGGTAAATTAACCAGTCTCACCAACAGCTTGGATATGGAGAGTAGAGAGTAACAGGTAGGTTGCAAGTCTGAGTGATAGGGACAATAGTGGTGTCCTTGACGTTATTAAGGAAGCGAAGAATGGAGGGTTTGGGGAGAAAAATGAGTTCAGTTTTAGACATATAGAGTTTAAGCTGTCTAACTAGATATCTAACTAGATAGGTAGATGGAGATGTCAGACTGATGGTCAGAAGTAAGGTTAAGGCTAGATGGGTACATCTGATAAGTACATTTGAGAATCATCAGCACAGAGATGATAACTGAATCCATGGGAACTGATGAGATCATCAACTGAAATAATATAGAAGAAGAAGAGTAGAAGACGCAGAACAGAGCCCTGGGGGACATTCAGGGTTAGTAGGTGTGACCTGAACAAAGATACAGCAAAGGACACTGAGAAGTAGCAGTCAGATAGGTAGGAGAACTAGGAGAGAGTGGTATCAAGAAAACCCAGAAAGAAGAGAGTATCAAGGTAAAAAAGGTGATTAACATGTCAAAGATTATACAGAAGAAGGAACAAGACTGAAAAAATGTTATCAGATTTGGCAATTAAAATACTATTGCTAACTTTGAAGAGAGCAGTTTCAGTGAAATGATGAGGCTGGAAGCCAGGGTGCAGAGAGCTGAATAAGAGGAAAAGCAGCAGAGGCTTTTCTAGGAGTTTAACCACAAGTGGAAGGAGAGATATGGGATAATTAGGAAGGATGGATGGGATCCAGGAGTGAACAGAGTAGATATATTTGTAGGAAATGTGGAAGTAGATAGCAGACAGGGAGAAACTTAGGGTAAGAGAGTAGTAATAAGAGGGAATCAGCTGGAGAAGAGAGGATGGAATGGGATACATGTTAGAGAAGTTAGTCTTAGCAAGGAGAAGGGCTACTTCTTCATGTAAGATGGGGTAGAGCAGATACTGGTGGAAAGCATCTGGGTAACATGAGATGAGGGGGAGGGGAGAAGAAGCTTTTAATGAAAACTCTTTTTTTTTCTCAGTAAAACATGAGACAAGGTTCTCAGTTGAGAGAATGGTAGGAGAGGGAGCCATGGGAGGTCTGAAAAGGTTTGGAAGAGCTGCTGTGGTGAGTACAGGAAAAAAAATTGTCTTGCAGCAGTGAAGACACAGTTGAGGCTGTGTAACATTAATTTGCAGTAGAACCAGTCAGTTTGGTTTCGTGATTTTCTTGTTTCATTCAGCAGCACACAGGTAACAGTGAAGGATGAGGAGAGTAGAAATACAAGTCAGGCTTGGCAGGGGCAAGACAGGTGATAGGATAAAGGAGTAAGGGACTCAAGAGATGAGTATATTGTAGAGTTGAACTGGTTCACCAAGGGGTCAAAAGGGGAAAACGAGGAGGTTATAGTTAGTGCAAGGTTATGTCTGGGAAAGAACTGAGAGGCTGAGGGATTGGAGTTTTCAGTATGGGTGAAGAACAGGGTTTAAGATTGCAAGACCGAGGGAAAGGTAGACTGACAATCCACTTATTCAAAGAAAAGGAAACTAGAGGCTGCTAGGTGATGCAGTGGATACAGCTCCGGCCCTGGAGTCAGGAGGACCCGAGTTCAAATATGGCCTTAGACACTTGATACTTAGTAGCTGTGTGACCCTGGGCAAGTCACTTAACCCCAATTGCCTCACCAAAAAGCAAAAAAGATAAGGAAACTAAAGCTCAGTGGTTTTATTTATTTATCTGTCTGTTTGTTTATAGGGGCGGAGGGGGGCGCAGGTTCTCAAAAGTAAGCAAGTAGCAAAGACAAGGCCCTGAGTTAGATCCTCTGACTCTAAATACAATGCTTTTTCCATCTCACTAAGTACTTTATTTTACATGGGGGATTTATGCATTCAGCAGTTTGAACAAAGTTGAGTATACAACCCTAACGCTCTATGTATTTATGATCACTAGGTCAGAGTATGGTGAACAATTTGTGGGTAATCAGGTTTAGTTTTTAACCAGGTAGAAGCAGCAAGGCATGATTGCAAAGAACCAATTAAGAGCCATCTGTGTTGGCATAAACTAACGATCCTTCACATATAATCAACACTCCCAATTTGAGTCTCATTTGTACCTCTCACCTGATAGTCTACAAGAAGCTCAGGACCTTTAAAATACCGTGAAGCCACTCGGACGTTATATTCTTGGCCAGGATGATAGAATTCAGCCAAGCCCCAGTCTATTAGTCGCAGCTAGGAAAAAAAAAAGGGAGAAATAACATCAATTTGGGGGTCTTTGAAAAAGTAACTCTAAACAAAACAGTCCCCCTCCAAGGCAGAAAATAATCAGTGGAGGCAACATGATCTCAAATGACAAACATCCACCACCACCACACCCCAATACACATAAGAGAACTGTGCTTGTGAAGAATCAGTTTCTGAATGAAAGTTCAACTGTGCCTTTCCACTTCTGCATGACTCCTTCCCTTCAGAATTACATTTCAGCCACACTGAACAAGGTGCTGTTTTGGATGCCTTCTATGCCTTTGCCCTCATTGTCCTCCACATCAGGAATAGTCTCATACCACACAACACTTCTTGAAATCCTTCACTAGCTTCAAAGGCCTAGATCAGTTACCACTTTCTCCACAGGCGGTCTTGTTCTTTCATCTGGGCAGTAATCACTTCCTTTTCAAATGTGAGACCCATAGTACTTGATATGAATCTTTTATTTGCACTTGTTACCTTTGCACATAAGGGCAGGTGTGCACATGCACACATACATCCCATTGTTACAGTACCCAAAACTCCCCCCCAGTGCTTCGTAGTGTTCTCCACATTGTAAGCATTTTTAAGGCTATTTATGTACTATGGCACTAGATACTAGTTCATTACACTAGTTGCCCATCATCCTTAAAGCATACAACAGATGGGAATTATCACATGTCTCCAAGTAACCAACTTGCTTGTCGCAAGAAACTTAATGTTATACAACTTTTGCCCAAAGGATGACTCAATCAAATATTTCCCAGAGACATGTTTAGTAGGTATTAGTTTACTTATTTGTATTTCTTTAGTAAAAAGTCTTACGTAAAAAATCCCAAAAATCTTCATCCTTTTCTCTTAAAAAACAGCATATGATGGCAAGAACAATGAAACTAGGAATCAAAAAGTTTTAGGATTTAGCCCTGTCTCTGTTTACTTATTAGCTGTGTGACCCTGGGAAAGCCATAACTTCTCTATGCCTCAACTGCTTTATCTTTAAAAGAAAGGCAATGATAACTACCCTGCCTGCTTTATAAGATATTGTAAGGATCAAATGAAACAATCAATATGAGAACCCTTTGTAATAATAAAGATCGAGATAAATATGCGATTAGTATCACTTTATAATTATTTTTTATTTTTAATTAATTTATTTTTAGTTTTCAAAATTCACTTTCATAAGCTTTTGAGTTTTCAATTTTCTCCTGTTCCCTTCCCTCCTCAAGAGGGCATACAATCTGATACAGGCTCTACATATACATCCATATTAAACACATTTAGCACTTTATCATTTGCAAAACACTTTCATATACTCTTGGTTCTCAAAACAACCCTGTAAGTTAGGCAGGTTAGGTATTATTAAATGCACTATACATGTGAGGAAATGGAAGCACCAAAAAAGTAGGCTGGATGACTTGATCTCACAGATTTTTACTGACAGATTTGGAATAAGAACCCAGGTCTTCCGATTCCTAGCTCAAAACTCTTTCCTGTTCATCACACTGACTCTCTTCTTATATTTTTATCCCCAGCAATGACGGCTTCAACATGTTGCAGTTGAAAGTGGATGTTGGAGCTGATCATGAAAACAAATGAAATCTTAGTTTGCTGCTTTATACCTTTCTGTGTTCGTGATCGATCATGACATTATGAGGTTTAACATCTCTATGCATAATCCCCATGCTATGACAATAATCCAGGGCCTGCAGAGAGAATGTGTAAAAGAAGAAAAGGATCAATCTATGAAATTACATTGCTAACTTATATCTCGGTTCAGTTCTAGAAGCCCAAGTGTCCACTATTGTATTCCTATCAATCTTCCCTCTCAGGAAGTCTTGACACTTCTAGGAAAACTCACCTATAAGTAAAAACTCAAATGTAAACAACTACTTGTCCGTCGAAGTGCTAACTCTTCAATAGTTTTGACACAGACCACCTGAATGGTTTATCTTTTTTGGCAGTAATCAAAATCACAGAATGTTAAAATTGAAAGAGAACACAGAGCCTTTGAGTTGAAAGGGACCTTAGGATACTGAAAATGTCACAAGTAGCCCCAGAACAGAGAGCCAAAGGAGAGCTCCGAGGCCATGTAGTCCAATCTCCTGTCATTGTACAAAATAAGAAAACTGAGGCCTCAGAAAGAGAGCAGGAGTTGGTATAAGGATAAAGGGGAGACATATTAAAACCCGGATTCTTCTGGTTGCTAGGTCTAGTACTCTTTCAACTATACCACATTTATAGCCCCTATACCCTAGTTTATTCAAGGATAGCACTGTAATTCTGATAGATACACATACACTAGTTTTGTGCATTTGGCAGCATTGTGACTGACAGATACCTGTGCTCCTAAAAAGGTTTATATTTAATGAAATAATTCACATTTCCAAAGTATTTCAAGGTTTGCAAAGGACTTTTCTTAACACCACCACACTTCTAGTCTAGTGAGATACACAATGCAAGTATAACCTGCATTTTTAAAGATGAAGAAATTGTAGCTGAGAGGTAAAGTAACTTTCACAAATGTCTCAAAGTAAATTAGTGGCACAGCCATGATGAGAACCCAGGCCTTTTGACTCCAAGAGTAGAGACTTCACACTGTCTTCTTAGTAAGTAAAAGAAATATTGTTTTCAAGCAAGGATCTGCCACATCACAATGTAGCAGTGTCCAAATTCTAACTAAGGTGTAGAGGGTGTTATAACCTTTGGAACTTGCCAACACAGTTCTCTAAGTCAGCTGACAGGAGCTGCTCAAATTATTGTCCTTTCTGAAGGGCAAACTGGGCCAACACTCCTCCTGGGGACAAGTCTCGTATATTTGTAGCATATTGAGGCCTATGAGTTTTGCATTTCTTTGTATCCACAAAGTTTATTATAACAGTGCCTGGCACGAAGGTGCTTAATGAATGCTTGCTGACTTGACATGATTTGACAGTAGAATGAGAGCATTCGAGCTCTAGAGAAGAAATGGGAACATCCATTTCATCCCCTTTTTAAAAGTGAGGGACTATGGATGTGGAATGGTATACAAACATTTTTTTCCTTTTTAAAATCTTTGTGTACAGAATCACTAGTTGAGTTGGAAGGGCCATTAGAGACTATGTAGTCTATCCCTTTCATTTTACAGGTTAAGAAACTGAAGCTGATATTGGATGGGGGTGGGGAGGGTATAAAAGTCCTTGCCCATGGTTATACAGGTAGTAGCAGTGTCTTGATCTGAATGCTGGTCCTCTGATCTAAAGCCAGTATTCTGTCCATTACAATGATCTCCCTCGACATCACTCTTGTCATGTTCTGTTTACCACAGTTGGTAGGTGAATCCTCACTGGACATAAAAAGAGACAGTCATATCTTCTGAACTAATAAGAGTTCTTATGTCTATTAGGCCTAACTTGGGACTAAGTACTTTGGTAACTTAATTTTAAGAATCAAAGTTGACTATCAATCAACACTCTCCAAGAACTAGTTTAAATAAAACATGGGACAATGATCTCTTAGTAACTGGACAGTAGATAATCTCCTCTTGATTTGCCTGATAACATCCTTTCAATGGGTGTGGGGGGGTGTTTATCAAATAAAATTATGAAAGGGCCTACAATTTTAGCCATAACTAGCTTTCCTAATCTTGAAAATAACATTTTCAAAGGATGAATAAAATATAGTGGAGATCATCAATACATATCACATATCCCAGATACCTCCCAATTGCCTTGTTTCAGCCCAAACCGTATTGTTCACTGATTTAAACCTTCCAAACCTACCATAACCCACGCTCTTATGACAATTATGTTAATGATATTCCACTGAAAAACCTACTAAGGAAAATAAGATTATATAAAAAAGGCAATTTCTTAAGAATAAAGGCTGTATCTTACCCATCTCTGTACCTCCAAAGACACACAGCACAGTATTTCACACACAGTAAGTGCTTTAGTAAATGTTTGGTTCAATTTGGAATTGAAACTCTTTAGACAGTTACAAAACCAGTTACTATTTCTGTGGCTTGATAAAAGAACCTCTAACAAAGGCTTACTCAGGTGCTATAGTATGGCATAAAGATGATCTTGAGGTCTGAAAAGCCATGCCTGTTGGGCATAAGGTTTGCTAGGTCCTACACTAAGATGCAAAGGTTTGAAGGATGGGCTAGGAATAATAAACTGTGCACCTATCATCCAAAGACCAATCTAGGCTAGTAAGGAGAGGCTTATCACCAGAAAGCTGACCACCAACTGGTGAGTTTTTTGGCCAAAGCAACTCATTAAATACTAAGTCTACCATAAGCCAAGAGGGGGTTGGGAGCTGCACCGTACTCATCCCAATGAAATCAGTGATATATCTTACTGTTTTATAAAGTTCTCACAGTACCACTTAATACCATAGAAGAGATTCCTAGGTAAAATTTCTTGCTGACTTAGTCTCAACAGGACCAATCAAATATATAGAATCATAGAATCTCAGTTAAAATAGACTTCAGAGGTCATATAATTCAGTCTCTGTAACAATGCCTAACAAATAGTCACCAAGTCTTTTCTTGAAGACCTCCAGTGAGCCAGTAACTCCAGTAGTACCTCTAATTGTTACAAAGTTTTTCCCTATATAAAGTCAAAATCTGCCTCTTAGCAACTTCATGAGAACTTAAAAGAGGAAGAGGGGAGAGAATACTAAAATTTGGAAGACTTATTTTTAAAAAAAAAACTTATGTGTTTTCTTATAGCTTCTTGCTTTGTGTACAATAGTTGGGCAATTAAGAATTTTAGGACCATTTTCAGGATGGTCTTACTTTCAGCAATAGAAGTCATCTGAATATAATAAGCTTATTCCCCAAATCACCATCAAAAGTCTTACCTTCAAAATCTCATACATATAAAATCGAATATCATAGTCTGTTAACGTCTGGTACAATTGCTGTTGAAGACAAATACAATAACTCAGGATGAAATAATGCCAATAGGAAGGTAATTTCTCATTAATGTTTCAAGTAATTCAAATTGAATCCTACTTTGAGAACTTTCCAAAGCACCATTGTTCCAGTTTCACTAACTTACTGGTCTTGCTTTCTCTCATCTAAAGTTCACATTAAGGACCCTTTAGATTCTTAACCCAGTATGTAAAGTGAAGAGGAACTATTTAGCTCATTATGTGGTAGAAATACATAATGGACTACTACAGATGGATTCGACTTTGGAAGTGATAGCCCAATTCCCTTCATTGTACCAAGAAGGAAATCAAGGCCATGGGAAATGATCTGCCCAAAGTCATAGCTGAGATGTAAACAAACCTAGAATTCCCAGCTCTCAGTTCAGTGCTCTATCTACTATACTACATTGATCTCCTTATAACTGTGATATACTAGTAAAAAGCTGTTGAACATACACAGTATCACTTCAATAGGAAATATACAATCCTTGGTTTACGCACCCAGCACTGCAGATTATCACCCAACATGTAGGATCAAAATGGTGCCAAACATGCAGAGCCAATTCAACAGTGCTTTTATCCTAGTCCCAATTCAAAAGCAAATACAGCAAAATCTGATAATCTCTTCTTCAGTTTCCAAAGAGCTGCAGCCTTTTTTGGTTGTTTAATAAATGGATGATGATGTGCTAAGAGGGCTTTTCTGGGTATTATTAATCTGATTCTAAACAAAATGTTTCTCTTTTTTTTTTTGGCTGCCAAAGGAAAATTTTTGAGATTCAACATTACTGTTACAAGAATGATGTGAAATATGAAATGCATGTCAAATCTCTTTATAACTCCAAAATTCTCTAAGCTCCCATAGTCTAGACAACTTTTGGTCATTTCATGTAAAAGTCATATGTGTTCTAACAGGATTTGATCTACTGTCATATCAAGCATTAAAAGCATTTTAGAAGTTCTTCATAATTATCTTAAGGTAAGAAGAGCTTCATAATTATCCTAAGGCCTCCAGGCCACAGGTTCCCCACCCCTGTACTAAGGCAAAGAAGATCCTTGCTTATTTTTAAACACAATAATGTGTTCTTAGAAACCACATCTCAGAGTAGATCCAAACTAAGCATGCAGTACTGCTTTCTTCTGTTCAGACATTAGGGGAAATCTTTCAGCAAGTGGGTCAGAATGGTGAGAAATGAAGTACAGATTTTTGTTAGGCACTATCAAATGAGCGGAGTGGCAAAATACAAAGATTGTTAAGTTTTTACGTCTTAAAATATATACTATGTCAAGATGACATGCTTCCTCTTAAAGTAACTTAGATGCAGGCCCTTCTGATGGCATCATTTTTAGTTAAAAGTCATGTAACAGATCGAAAATCAACAACTGAAAAGGGCTGTCACATATTATACCTTGAAGTCTGTGTTGTTTACGTGTTCAAAAACCAAGGCAGGTGTTCGTGACTGGGGAAAAAAAGAAAACAAAAATTAGCAACAACACTGAAATCTTTGACTGGTACAGTGTTTTGCAGGCTCTTTGTGGTGAGTTTGGCAGTCTCGGCCTCAGCCTCAGTAGTAGAAAACCCTCTAGTGCTAAGATCCCTCCCCCCCTCAGATAATCACCACACTTAGGTAATTTCTGGGATGGATTCAGACAGAAGACATGGAGCTGAAGTCTCACCAGGCTCTAGGCAGCCCAAAATGCGTGCCCATCTGCATCGGACCTGAGTTTGCAAAATGGATTAACACATTTCAGTTTCCAGTGCTATCAGTCTCTTATCCTAGAAGAATAAGAAATAGTCTGTGGGTGGAGGTCTCTTTGAAAGAAAGAAGCTAAACTGATTAAATGGTTGATCTGATTAAGCATTTCAAAAGTAGGACTTAAGGGCAGAGGGAAAAACAGAAAGAGGCCAGTTTTATTCTAAGTCAAACCCAACCTCAGTGGGCTTTGCTAACATCTACCATACTCACCACAGGGTCTTTTACTATATCTGCCAGCGTGATTATATTGGGGCCACCTCGAAGATTCTCCAAAATCTTTATTTCACGCTTGATTTTCTTCTTCTTTACAGGCTAAAAAGGGGAGAAAGTCATGTTAGTAAAATATGATATTCAAGAGTATTTCAGTATATAAAAAAGATGCACAAAGATATGACTACCATAGTTATATTCAGATATGCACAAAATAGGACCTTTGTGGTCACAGTAGCTAACATAGCTTGCATGGAAATGGCTATGGTCTATAATACACTCTCATGAAAATCCAATGCAATCTTAACTATTCCTCTTTGTAAAGGTTTAAAAAGTAAAAATTTAAAACAGCAGCCGGGAAGTTAAATGCCCCGTCTCTCCAAGCTACTCTCAAAGTCCTTCACAATTTAAACTCATTGGTCTTGAATTCAAAGCGCCAACGTATCCATTGTAACTAGAATTACTAATTAACAACAGAGGAACCCTCTGCCATATAGCTGTTATTTAGGGGACAGTGAACAAACCATTCATATTTCTGCCAAACTACATGATATTACCACCTCTCCAACTCACTGCCCTTTACCTGAATCCTATCCACCTTCGAGGCCCTGGTCTAGACCCAACTGTTTCCTTCCATGAATCCTTTCCTGATTATAATACTAGAGTCACATAATCACATAATTTTTCAATTGGAAGGGGCCACAATAGCCATGTACTCTCACCCATAATCGATGCCCTCTTTTTCTTCTTAACCTCAGCAACATTGGTCTATATAGCCTTCATTTAGCATATATCCTATATTGCCTTCAATTAATGCATTTATTAAGCACCTACCATGTGCTAGGCACTCTGAAAAATGAGACTGTAGTCCCTGTCCTCAAGAAACTTGCATCCTACTATATAACTATCATTTTTAGTGACTTGTTTGTTTTAACTAGTCTTGTCACTTTAACAACATTAACTTTTTTGGTAATTAGATGCTTGTTTTTACTTCTTTACAAGGTTGTGGCTTACACATACTCGGCATTCAATAAATAAATATCAATCCCTTTTTAATCAACTGACCCAGAAGCCCAGGTTCATAGTCTCTCTCTCTCTCTCTCACACACACACACACACACACACACACACACACACACACGCACGCACGCACGCACACACACTCTCTCTCTCTCTCTCTCACACTTTGGGGAGAGTGTGTGAACATGTGTTATACAAAAATTTTTCACCCCCAAAACATTACTCAGGACCTTCACATCTTACATATCTGGATTACTAACAGAGCCTCTAATCTGTCTTCCTGCTTCTGGTCTTAACCCTTCAAATCCACTTTGTCAATTGCAGCTAAAACACTATTTTCCTTTTGTTAACACACCTCCCCAGCTAGAAAATTTTGATTCCCAGCTGTATAGAATATAAAAAATACAGAATTTTGAAACTGGAAGAGAATTTGGAAGTCATTTGGTCCTTCTAGAATACCTCTCCCCAGCTGCTTAACCCTACCAGCTTTTTAAGGCCCAGTTGTGAAGCATTTCTTGTTCCCAGTAGCTAGAAATGATTTCTCTTTTCTCCAAACTTTCACAACTCCCTTATTTCTCTCATTCTAAAATGTTCATCTGACCAGTTAATCAGTTAAGCTTCCAGAGAACAAGAATTGTATTTAAAACGTTTTTGCTGTCCTCCACATATCAACATACAGAGAAATAATACTGGGTAGTATGGAAGCATAAGTTATTAAGAGCTGGATTCTAACCTTGGTTTTGCTACTAACTAGCTAGTTGTGACCTCAGACAAGTCACTTACATCCACTATACCTCAAAATGTGAAACTTGCTTTACCTACTTCACATAGTTATTAGAAAATAAGACCGGTATAAAAATATAAAAACCTGGGGCAGCTAGGTGGCGCAGTGGATAGAGTACCAGCCTGGCCTCAGACACATAATACTCACTAGCTGTGTGACCCTGGGCAAGTCACTTAACCCCAACTGCCTCACCCAAAAAATAAATAAATAAATAAAAATCCATTGAAAAGTCACAAGTGATATATATAAATTCAAGGTATTAATGCCTAATGTTTTTCCTACTACTAAAACAGTAATGAGACCCCATTTCAAATTATCTCTGAATATTAAAATTTCTCCCTTCACTTACCTTGAGAATTTTAACAACTACTTTTTCATTATTTGTGATGTTGATGGCTTCAAATACTTCACTGTATTTACCCCGGCCTAACTTTCGAACTAGTTGATAGTCGTCTTGGTTTCTGTAAACAAAGGACACCATCAGCCTCACAAGACTTCACATTTATTTACTACCAAGAAACAAATCTTCTTATAAGGGCCTATCTCGTCTAACCAGGAAATGAACAAAGAGGTTTTAAAAATGACTGTACCTATATTTGCATTTGTAAAAACCCAGTAAACTCTGTTTTTTGTAATGTACATCTTAAAGGACAGCCCCATTTAAAGCCTAGAAAGGAAAGAAGAAATTTTTGGTAGGCTATTCTGTAGTTCATGAACCATGGAGACAGGTCTTTTCTTCTGCTTTATCACATACTAGAGGTTAATGAAATGTTCATTTCTACTGTTTCCTACTCTGAATAATTTTGCTCCACACAAGTACCAAACAGGTCCCTTTTATGAGCACTAAAGTTTTATTCTAGAAGTCAACTAAATAGTTAATTGGCCACCTATTTTATTCAAACAATTAAAAGGGACCCAGACATAATGGAAAGGCCTGAAGTATTATAAATGTGAAAATGATAACTGCTATGGAATAAATGCTTTACACTTTGGACAAGTTAAGCTTAGTTGTCCCATTTCTACTCTTCTATAAACACATAAATGAAGGAATTCAAGCAAACTAAATGGCAGTATGCCAAAAACTTGAAAGAGATGGATACGATAGGAAGGAAACAGCAGTCCTCCTGTATGTATTTTTATTACTTTTTTTTTTTTTTTGTGCTTACACTCAGGGTATGACCTGATAAATATGCACCACTTCGAGGAGGAAATGGGTACTACCACCATTAAACAAGCTTCACTGAATGACACTGTAACTGCTCCAGTGAACATTTGGGTCAAATTCCAAGGACATTGTCTTCTGACAAAGACAAGCATTTAGGGATTTTATTTTGTATTTCATAAAAAAAGGGAATAATATTCAAGATTCACCTCAAAATCCTGAAGGGTGGCAAAAGAAAGTTCCCTATTCTTAAGAGTACCTTGGACAAGATTTGGGGGTTTCCTTAATGTATCTAAGTAGCAACTGCTATACTATCCTCAAAATTCTTTGGGTTAATGAAATATTTCCATAGAAGTCTAATTTGCTTCATACCTAACAGTTACACCTAAGGTAAATGCTTTATGCCAGGGAAAAGAATGCTAGGATTCACTGTATTTTTAAATAGTGAGGCCAATGAAACAAAATTATTTCTTCAGGACAGTAACAGAATTTGCAAATCTAAGAGATGTATGCAAGCTGGGACACTGGTCTCGACCCTGATGTATTACAGCTGTACGAACAGGTAGCTTTCCAGACATAAAGCCAAATCCAACAAGGCTCAGGGCCCTTGGGGAAATAGTGAAGCAAGTGGAGACAATTACCCCCATTCCACCACATGTGACTCGTAGTCCCAGTACTCCCGGGGTCTGTGCGTGTTAACATCAGTGTAAACTCTGGCCCTGCTTGGCACGGGTCCCGACATGTCAGACAGGTTGGCTTGCAAAGCTGGACTTGATGTTAAAGTTCTGGTAGTCACTTAATTCAGAGCCAACTAGGGGTAAGGCCTTGTTTAGACCCCTTGTTTTCTCCAACTGCAGAAACAAAATGAACAAATGGTTACTTAAAAAAATGTAATGGGGAACAGAGGGAAGGAATGGCTCACAAATACCATTCTTTCTAATACCTCTGGCTCTATGACTTAGCAACAAATCTCTCTTAAATGTTATCAACCACAGTACTTACTGCTGTATGAAAATCCAAACTATCCTTAAAATGATACAGTTCTTCCCATATTATGAAGGATCATTTGAGACTTTTGCAAGGAAATCTTGGATGTCTCATGTTTCCAGAAAAAAAAAAGGATTTGGGATCCAACCATTCAATATTTAAACATAACTATTATTGGCTTATTAGCACACATATGGTACAAAGATAAATAAAAAACAGTATCCACTCAAGTAGTTTACAATTTAATTGAGGAGAAAAGTTATGCAGATCAAAAAATGCAACAGAAATTTGTTTAAGTATCCAAGAAATGCAGAAAGTACAGTGAGAACAGAAGAGGAAAAAATAATTTGGTGGTGGGTAAAAATTAATGAGTAATCCGGTTTGTCTGTAACAAAGAGGCAGAACAGCAGAAGGTAAGTCTACATAGGTAGGTGGGGTGATATCACAGAGGACTTTTCAAAAATCACACTAAATAACTTATCTATCCAATAAACAATGAAGACATTGAAACTTTTTGAGCACTGCAGAGACATGCACAGTAGGAAGACCAACATGGAAGGATCAGATGCACCTACTAGTAAGACCCAAAATTTTATACACAAGTTATCTGTTAAGGCCTGGAATTTTCACCTCAGTAGATGCCTTTCCAGGGTAGATGCTCAAAGTTAAAGGTACTATAGAGGTACCAGAGGATCAATGTACTAAATAAAGGTACACTGATTATTGAGATTACAGCACTTTCTTAATACTTGCCAAAAATTGAGCTAAATCACTCCCTTTAGCTGTAACTAAAAAAACTCTGTTCCTACACAGAGTGAGATATTAGTTTAATACTATTGTTTGGGAACTTCATACAGTAATGATAACATCAACAATCACCAATGCCATTATTGTAATCCAAGCAATTGACTCATTCCATTTTACCAACTAGCACTTAAAAATAAAAATAGAATTTCAAAATTGAAATTAAATTTTGTTTTGTTTCATTCAGTGTGTGGACTCAACTAGTGTTCTAAGGTAGAGAAAGTAATATTACATATATAACTACTCAATACTTATATACCACTGTAGTCTTTACTTTAACATGTGTATATACCTTATCTCCCTAACTAGATTACTAATCCTCAAAGGGAAAGAAACAATGTCAGACATATTGGTATTCTCCAAAGAAGTAAGCACAATGTTACACACACAGTAGGTTGTCAATAAATCTTTAAGTGAATAATATTGCCTAGGACAAATAGTTCTATAATCTATTTCTCATAGAATCATATTCAGAGCTGGACAGAACCTTGCAAGGCATCTAGTCCTTTTAAAGATGAGGAAACTGAAGGCCCAAGAGCCAAGCAACTTGCCTAGTAGTAAATGACAAAGACAGGATTTGGACCTAAGTTCAATGAAATCTTAAGTTTTTAGTACAACTGTGACCAGATAGATTAGAAATCAGTTCTACAAAAGGAAAGTTGGGCTGTGTGTTATGTCTACTCCAGCCATTTCCTGAAACTTCTTTCCTTTCAAAAAATTATACTTAGTTTCATACACAATCTTGTTCTTTTTTATACTGAATTGTTATACTCATAATAAAATATAAAATAAAAATATATTCGAATCACTTATGTGGTCAAAGGACAGATCACAGATATAGGACTACAAGGATGGTTAAGTGATGTGCCCAAGGTCACAAGCCATTAAGCAGCTGAACTCAGACTCAAAGAACAAAATATCTCTGTATTCATAAGTACTTTCCTTTCAAAAGGGGCTCTGTCTTTACAATATACCAGCTACCAAATAGTCTGATGAGCCAGTAAGCATAAACCACTGCTTGGCTTTTCACTGGCTTAAGTGAAACAAACACAAACTATCCTATTTACACCGCAGATGTTGAAGATACTGCTATACTAACTAGCACTGCCATTCCAAAAGGCAGGAAAAAAAACTAACAAATCTTTGGGGACCCACCTCCTCCCTTCCCTCAGTGTGAACCACTAAAGCCTCAAAACCTTGCACATTCACTTATAAACTAACTCATCTGGAGGAATCCCATCTCCCTCTATGGTCCCTATACAGTCACTGGGTATTGACCAAAACACAACCTATGATCTTTGTAGTCCAGCACACAGGTCTATTTTGCTTAAAATATGTTTTCCCTGGTTCCTACCTGCCATTTATGACACTAAATTTGGTGGCTTTAATCTCATAGACCTTGACCTATTGACAAAAAGGCTTTAAAAAACTTCAAAACAAGAAAAATAACTATCAAGCTATTTCCTAATTGAGAAACTTATAGGACATATAGAAATGTACAGGACACAAAACAGAAATGAGCATCTATTCCCCAAAACCTTGGCTACTCAGTATGAACACTGGAGCTTGACCTAGGACAGTTATCAATACAATATTCCAATTAATAACAATAATACAATGCATTTATATAGTGTTTCCACATCACTGTTTCATTGATCATCACAACAATCTTGTGAAGTCCTAAAGACAGGATATTATAATCTCAAAAGGAAGAAATGGGGGAAAGGAATAGGGAAAAGGGGATAGAAAAGAAATAGGAGCCAGGTCTCCTGGCTGCCAATTGAGAACACTGTCCATTTCTTTTTCTTTTCTCATGAACTTAGTCAACAGAAAAAGAAAATAATGAACTTATGAACACATGAAATTATGAACTCCTATTACATAATTTTTTAAAAGTAAATATTAAATTCAACAAAGCAATAGCAAAATTGCCTTGTTCTCTTCTGAATTCTTTTTTGTCTTCTATTACATAGTTTTAAAATGTTTTATTTATACTCTTTTCTTGCTTTTTCATTCAATCTCTTCTAGCACTAAACAGCTAACAAATGCAAGAACAATGACTTAATGATTTTCAGGGTGAAAACTGAGGAATCTTTCTCTGGAGAGAAGTACAGTGGAATTTTAGGTGAGGTCTTGATGTGGTCAAGACTAGGTCAGTGTATTCTAACTTTTGTTACAAGGGAGGTTTTTATACAGAAAGTCATTGAGATGTGACATCGTTGTAAAAAGAAAAGCATTTACAAAACTTTTTTAAAATTCTGAACTAAAAACATCAAAAAAGAGCATCTCCATATACACAGCAGAACAAAGATTATATGTGAACCTGTGAATCATTTCATAACTGTTTTCTTTAAAAAAGTATACAATAAATTCCACAAATTATTTCTAAAAGTTTGTTTTACTTTCCACTATGCCCTTCATGGCATTATCTTTCCACTTTTAAGTCCTATTCTCCCCAATACCTACTTCCACCAAACTGTCTGTATATGTTTAATCGTCCTCTAATCCCCTCCCAATTTTTCCTTACGCACTCTAAATTTTGAGAAATACAAAGTCTTACCCCTTCCCTATTTCTATACTAATGTATTCCTTTGACCCTTTCACTCTTTTCTCCCCTTCACACCCTTGGAACAAAACCAATCCATTCCCCAGGTACTGTTTTTCATATTTAACTACCTAATACCCTTTGAAGACATTAAGGTTTTGACATTTGTCTCTTCTCCCCAACTAGAATATTAGTACTTCATATGGCTCCTTCCAAATGCTCAAATAAATTCACCTTTCTAGTTTCTCCACTCACATTTGTATTTCTAAGTCCCTATTCAGGGCCAACACCTGAAAAGTCCTCTATTCCATTCCGTCACTGCCCCCCCCCCCCCATTATACTTAGCTTTGCTCGTTAAGTTATTCTTGATTATAAGCCTTTTTCTCTTTTTGGCCTTCTAGAATGCTGTATTTTAATAGCTTTCATTTAAGTAGAAGCTGCCAAGTTTTGTGTGATCCTGACTGGTTCCTTGGTGTATGGAACTTCTTTCTGGATGCATGTATTACTTTTGATGTGGCAGCTCTAGATTTTGGCTATAATGTTCCTGGGACTTTTCCTTTTAGAATTCCTTTTAGGAGATAATTGGTGGATTCTTTCTATCCTCACTTTGTCCTCTGGTTCTAATAGATCTGGATAGTTTTAATTTATGATTTCCTATAGTCCTAGGATTTGTTTTTTTAAATCATGTTTTTCTAGGAGTCCAATGACTCTTAAATTACGTCTCCTTGACCTGCTTTCCAAGGTCAATTGTTTTTCTAGGTCAGTTTTAATATCAGACTTCAAATTTTTTTTCTATGTTTCAATCTTGATTTTCTCCTAATATTTATTGCTGTTTCATAGAATTACTCATTTCAGTTTGGTCTACTCTACTTCTTAGAGAGCTTGTTACCTGGTGAGGTTTGCCAAATTCTCTTCTAGGTTATTTATTCTCCTTCCAATTTTCCTCCAGAGCTTTCACTTCATTAAAAACAAATAAAAAACCCACCTCTTGTCTGATTTTTTTCCCCTAGGTATTAATATAGTACTTATGGAAATTCCATTTTTTTCCCTTTGAGTTTATGCTTCTGGTTGTTATGAGTTACTCTCTCCTTTGATGAGAGAGGGCGTCTCTATATTTGTAATCATTTTTTATGTAGGCTGGTCTCCTAATTTTTTTAAACAAGAAGGGGAAACTTAAGTTCTGTTCTTATAGAACAGTGGTCTTCAATTTTTTTTTAAAATTATCTACCATGACTAAAAAATGTGAGCAGACACCCAATCCACCATGTGTATATCTACTTATTTATAAATTATTTCTGGCAGTCTTGTGGAGGACAGATTAGAGAGAGGCAGGGAGATCAATGAAGAAGTCTAATGTAATATATAGTCCAAGTGACAAGTGATGAGGGTTTCAACTAGGGTAGAGACTGTGAGTAAAAAGAAGGGGCCAGATTTGAGAGATGTGGAGGTAGAAATGGCAAGATCATGTACCTGATTAGATGTGTGGAGTGAAGGAGAGTGAGTAGTTTAAGATGATAGCAATGTTTCAAATCTAGAAGAATGGAAGGATGGTGGTATCCGAGGTATCCAATGGTAGTATCCTAGTATCCTAGAGAAATTTTTGAGAGAAGTGAGTTTAGGGTGAAAGTTAATGTAATGAGATCTATAATCCTTGGTAACCCATCCATGCCTGCTTATTCTGTTCAACTGGCTAAGCCACTGTAAATGAAAAGTGGGGGAATAAGGGCTCTTATCTGGCCATTACTCCTGATTCCAAGAGGTGACCTTGGGAGACATGGGTGAGTAATCAGTGGTATGCATGTGAAGGTACTGTACATCTGCACAGCAGGAGGTCCTCAGGTAGTGGTTAGCTTATAATTGCCTGTAGGAGCCAATTTTTCTTCTCTCCTCACATTACCCAAGAAGGAAAGGCTGGGAATTTGCATAGCAGAAGAACAGGATGCATTAGGGGAATGTTGGGTGGAAAGGGTAAAGATAACTCTAACTGGAAAGAAGCCCCACAATGGGCTATCAAAGGGAGAGTATATCTAACAACCATCTAGTTGATGACACATCTCTTGGTGTCAGGCCATAGTCCCTCAGTTAGTGCCTATCCTTACTTTGAAGACACTGGCACAGACAACCATCATACACTTAGAGTTAACAAGACAATTATTTGTGGGTGATTTAGAAATATTCTTAATACAATGGTGGCATAACAGAAAGGAATGGAATTGGAGTCAGAAGATTTGAATTTGGCTCTCCTGAATGTCACTCTAGTAGCAGTTTGACCTTGGATAAGTAATTTCATTTCTAGAAGTCTGTAGCTGCTGAGGAAGAATATCTGACATAGAATTGTTGTGAGGATCACAGAATGTAGTCAAAATACTTTGTAACTATATGACATAATGTATTTTTGAAGCTATTACCATGACTAGGCACAAAGCCAGTTCATTTTTAGAATATAGGGGCCCTAGTCTATTCAAATTATATTTTGGAAACCCATCCCACATACCTTACCCAGTAAGTATTCTGAAGGAAAGTACTCTTTAATAGATAAATAATATCTTATTACTTCTAAGTTGTCAGTAACTAGGAGGTTAAAATGATGATTTGAAATAATTCCTGCTACTTCTGTCTTATCCAGTGATAGCTGGCAGGATACCGTAACTAATTTCTAAGCCTGAAAAGATCAGTATTATCTTGAGATACAAAAACACCAGGTCTAATTTCCTGTTCTGTCCCTACAAGTAATTAGATAGTAATTAGATAAAGAAAGTATAAACAAAATGTAAGAAGATCAGCTGCTTTCTTTGTTAGCTACAATATACTTAGGTATTAATGTTAGACTATGACCTGGGAGGGACCTTAGAAATAATCTAATCCAACCCCCACAATCTACATACTGAAGAAACAAAACTCAGAGAAGTAATCTACCAATAAGCATGCATTAAGTGTCTAGTATCTGCCAGGCATCATTCAAGGTATCAAAAATTCTTTTCTCATAACAACTATGAGAGGTAGGCAGATCAAATATTATGACCTCCTTTTTGCAGATGAGAAAATTGAGGCTTTGAGAAGTTAAGTGATTTGCCCATGGATCACCTACGGTAGTATCTGAATTGTGGTTTTCAGATTCCAAATTCAGCACTCTGTATATGTACTACAGCAGGTTACTTCTCTGGTTGTGTGTCACTTAATGTTACACATCTAACAAATGAGAGAACTGGAGCCCAAATCCAGGTTTTTTTAAAGTTTAGTGTTCCTTTCATGCTGTCACAAGTCAGAAAATCCTAGATCCTGATTCTGCCATTTATTGTCTGTGACCCTCAAAACAAAAATCTCTTTTTCTCTTTGGACCAGATTCCTTCATCTGTAATGAGGATACTACAACTAACCCTAAGGGTTGTTATAGGAAAAGTTTTATAAACCACAAAACATCACAGTAAAGGTGAATAATGTCATTGCAATGGGTGTTTCTTCTTTCCACACAGAAAAAAAATGCTTCATGATCCAAAGACAATTTTCTTCCCTTTCGTTAGTTTTTAGTTAGGTGAGCACAGGCAAGTCACTTCTACTTCCCTCTTTCTCAATTATAAAATAGGCATAATACAACTTGTAGCACCTATCTTATAGGGGTCTTGAGAAGTTACACATATAAACTCTTAGCAAACTTCAGAGTCCTCTCACTTGAGGACGACAAGGCAGCATGTTCTAAGGGAATAATAAAAGTGGAACCAAAGGTTCATAATCTGGCTCTGCTTAGTCATTTCTTTCTGGGCCTCAGTTCTTTTTTTTTGGGGGGGGGGGGGTTGGTTGGTTGGACTAGATGGCCTCTAAGATCCCACAAAGGACAGGTCCATCATGCTTTGTTTCCCTTAGAACACAACAACTTTAGGCATTACAGTTAACCCACTTCTGATAAGACAACATAGCATAATGGGAAAAGCCCTGGATTTGGTGTCAGTAGGCCTGGGTTTGAATCCTAGATCTATGACTGGGCAAACCACTCAACCTCTCAAAAACTCATCTGCAAAGTAAAAATACAATCTGCATTAATGGGTTGGTGTGGTGAAAGCATTCTATAAATCTTAAAGTGATTCTAATTTAGAAATAGGAGTTATTAGTAATTTTGACACCCAGCTGTCAAAATGGGGGATCATAATATTATAAAGCAGGATCTCAGCTAAAGAAACTAATGACAACCACTCAGTTGTCAGACTAAGAAAACCTCCATAACCTAACTTTAGACTGTTCAATTGTTTATTACTTCACAGACAAAAGTACATTTCCAGTCAGACAATAGTTAACACTGCAGTAACAGGCTCTGGGTTCTTTCTTGCTCCTTTCTGCCCTGAGAGTGTGGTTTGCTCCACCAAAAGCAGAGCAAAGCTAATTACTAAGAAAACTCTCCAGATTCTCAAGTGTTTGGCTAAAATGACCCCTGCAGCTTCTGACTCTGTCAGATTGGATCTATAAATTATGAACTAGTGGACTTAATTCTCTATTAGAAAAGGTCTAGTTAATTATTTAATAATCGACCACATTTGCACACTGTCAAACATACATCACCATTCAGACCAATTCCAAATGGTTACCCTTCATCAGGCAGTGAGAATTACACCAGGGATTCTTGAGCTGTAGCAATGTAGCCCCACAATGCTCTGCCTCTTTAGAAGAATCTGTGGGAATAAAATGGTGCCCAGGAGAACTAAACACAGGAAAGAAAGCTAGGAAACAAAGTAAGGGGTGGGAAAAAACATAGAGGAGCACAGAAACTAGGGACAAACAGGATCATAGGACTTAGAGCTCCAAAGGACTCAGACCCCATGTAGACCAATACCCTGATTTTATACACAAGGAAACTGAAGTTGGTTCAGAGAGGTTAAGTGACTTGCCCCATGTAGGGAGAGTAAGTACAGAAATGGGACAATCAATCCATGTCCTCTGACTCTAAATCCAGCACTGCTTTAACATGTTATAATAAGACTACTAGACTATGTCAGTAGAAAGGAGATTTAATTTTGACACTACAACATAACAGTTGTGACCATATTCAAGTCGCTTCTCTGCCCTCAGATTTCTCATTAGTAAAATCCAATCTTGAAGGGTTATTATCAAGATGTAATTAGATAATGTATGCAAATTGCCTTGTAACCATAAAGTGATTATTATTTTAATACAGCAAAATTATCTTAAACGTAAATACTATTACAAAAAGATTTATAATGGTGTTGTGAAAAGAGTATCAGATTTTTAACCAGAGGATCAGTGTTGGAATCTTAACTCCACCATTTACTACCTGTCTGATCTTGGCCAAGCTCCCTCCCCTCTGTGGGCCTCAGTTTCCTTATCTATAAAATGAGAAGGCTGACCTAGATGAATCAACCAACAAGTATTTTCAAAGCATCTAATATATGTCAGGCATTACACTGGGCGACATGAAGACAAAAAAATGAAATAGTCCCAGCTCTCATGGAGTTTATACTCTACCAGGGAAGACATGTACACATTTAAGTATATACAGAATACAAAGTAATTTAAGGAGAGAGGGCAATAGCAGTTGGTGAAAATCAGGAAAGGCAAAATGTAGGAAATGGTGCCCAAAATGAGTCCTGCAGGAAATAAGAGAGTCTATGAGGCATAGGTGAGAAGGGAGTACCTTCCAGGAATGGAGGATGGCCTGTATAAAGGCACTGAGACTATATATGGAGTGCCATGTGAAGAAGAACAAGAAAGCCAGTATAGCTGAACCATAAAGTACATGAAGGGTATTACATATAATAAATTGGCAATACAGATTGAGGCCATGCTGGGAAGAGTTTTAATAACCAAAGAAAGGAGTTTATATTTGATCCCAACGGCAATAGCCATTGGAGTTTACTGAGTAATGGGGTGACATGGCTAGATCTATGATTAAGGTAAATCACTCTGGCAGCTGGGTGGAAAATGCAATTGAGTGGGAAAAGACCCAAAGTAGAGGCTCAAATAGGAGGCCATTCTGAATAGGTATAATTAACTTTAAATTGGGGATCCTACTTATGAATATATGCCAGCCTACACAAATTAAAAAGGAAAAGATCACAAGATGTCAGAGCCAGAAGGACCTTAGGGATCATCTAGTAGTTAGTTATGAACCTGGAGGATAGGGGGTAGAAGGAGATTGGAAAGGTACCTGTAAAGAGGCATGGTGGAGAAGGAAGTCTGGAGTCAGGAGTGGAGCCTGAAGAAGAATGAACATGATTAGCGAGGGCACTCTTCCTTAAAATGGAGGTTCTGGGAAAAACTGACCAATTAGAGAAAAGGGTGACACAGATAGAGGGATCTTCCAAGGTAAGAAGGGGACAGGAATAATGGGAGTTTTCAGGTTTTTGGGACACAGTTTTCTCTTGGTTCTCCTACCTGGTTCTCTCCTGTGTGACTACTCAATATCCTTTGCTGAAATCTTCTTCCAGGTCATGTCTACTACTTGTAGGTATCTCAAGTACCAATCAGACCACTCCTCTATCTCTTTTGCTTGATCTTCATATAAGTCACACCATCTAACTGGAGGTGTCCAACAGAGCTCTGTCCTAGGCCTTCTTTCCTTCTCCTTCTATACTAAGTCACTTTGTGATCTCCTCTCTATGTGGATGACTTTCAAATCTACCTACCCTACCCTAATCTCTCTGCTGACCTCTAAATCTTGCATTTCCAACCACTTTTCAGATGTCTTAAACTGGATGTTCAGTAAACATCTTAAACTTAACATGTCCAAAAGTGAACTCATTATCTTTCCCCCTAAACACCATCTGTCTCCTTCCACTTTCCTAATAGTGTCAAGGGTACCACCTCGAAACTCAGGTTTCATCCTTGATTCAACACTACTTTCCCTTCCCCCACCCCATATCCAATCTGTTGCCAAGACCTGTTGAATTCACGTTTGAAATCTCTCAAATATGCTCCCTTCTCTCCTCGGATACTGCAACACCTGGTACAGGCCCTCATCACCTCATGCTTGAACCTTTAAAGTAGCCTTTGGGGGGGGGGGTGTCTTCCTGCCTCAAGTCTCTCCTTATTCCAATCCATCCTCCATTCAGTTACCAAAGTGATTTTCCTAAAGTGTAGGTTCAACCTCCCCCCACCTCCACCCCACCTTTCCAGTCTTCTTATACCTTATTCATCATCAGCATGCACTCTTTGATCCAATGACACCGGCCTTCTTGCTGATCCACAAACAAGACATTCTCTCTCTTGGTTCCAGGTATTTTTTCTGGCTGTTCCCCAAGCCTGGAATATTCTCCCCTCATTTCAGCCTACTAGTTGTTCTGGCATCTTTCAAGGACCAATTAAAACCTCATCTTCTACAGTAAGCTTTTCCCAATTCCTCAATTCTAATGCCTTCCCACTTTCAATTATTTCCTGTTTTTCCAGTGTATATAGTTTATTTGTACATATTTGTTTGCCTATTGTTTCCCCTATTAGATTGTGAGTTCCTGGAGGTCAGGGGCTGTCTTTTCCCTCTTTTTGTACTCCCTTCCTACTGGTGCTTAGCACAGTGTCTGGTACATAGTAGCTGCTTAATAAATGTTTATTGGCTAATTTGAGCCTGTCCCTCTATACTACACCTCAATAGTAATCAACTTCCACGGATTCAATGCAGATAATTCTCAGATCTATTTATCCAGCCCTAACCTCTACCCTAATCTCCAATCTCACATGGCTAGCTGCTTAACTGAACATTTCAAAATGGATGTCTAGTAAATATTTCAACACAGTCAAAAGAGAATTTATTTTTCTTCCCAATTTCACTATTACTATCCAGGCCAGCACCATTCTCCTGGTAGCCCAGGCTTACAACCTCAATGTCATTCTTGATCCCTTGTTTGTACTCCCCTCACATATCCAATCTGCTGTCAAGTCTACCTTTACAACATCATTCCTAGAAGTCTCCTTTTCTCCACTCACACAGCCACCACAATGATGTGGCCCTTGTCACCTCATGCCTAGACCACTACAATAGCCTTCTGGTTCATCTCACTGCAACAAATCCCTCCTCATTCCAGTTCATCCTTCAATCAGCTGTCAGTGATCTTCCTAAAGCATAGGTCTGACCAACTTATCACTTTCCTACTCAAATTTTAATGGATCTCTATTACTTCCATTTTATACTTTCCTCAATTGTAAAATTATGATAATAATAGCACCTACTTCTCAAGGTTGTTGTCAGGATCAAATGAGATTTCTGTAAAAAGCACTTGGCACAGTGTCTGGCTATCCAGGATCAAATATAAAATTTTGTTTGACATTTAAAACCCTTTATACCCTGACCCCTTCCTACTATACCTTGCCAGTCTTCTTACATTTTATTCCTCTTATGATGGGGACACTGGCTTTTTTGTTGTTCTTCTCACATGATACTTCATTTTCTGACTCCACAAAAGTCACTTAGTCTAAAACTCCTCATTTCACAATAGGAAATGTGCCTGAAGAGGTTCTAAGGGAACACAATAGGGTTACTATATCCTTCTTTAAGTTACCTATTGCAAATGACTTAAAAAAAAAAAAAGTTATTCCCCAACTACAGCGACAGGAACTGGACCTGTGATTTCACTGATATAGGGAACTCTCAGATGAGAAAACTCCTTCTAGCCAGGTCAGCACCTTCACAACTTATAGTCTTAAATTTGCCTAGAGCACTTGAGGGGTGAAGGAATGTGCCAGTATCAGAGAGGTAAGTACTGAACCCTACTCTTCCTGGTTCCAACAACAGCTCTCCATCAAGGACACAAGGACTGTCTCCCAAGTTATGCCACTTTAAAATACTCCAATAATTTATATTTTCCATTTCTCTCTCTTCTAGACATCATGGCACCTGGTTAGACAAGAAGCTATGATTGATGCTAAACTTCAATAATGTACAGTAATTGTAGGTACATCATCTTAAGTTACTCATTTAGGTGTGAAGGCTAGTCACTAACTGTGTGACCAGTTTTTTATTATCTACTTTTAAGGAATGTTTGTATATTAGATAAGAGGCAGAAGATGCAGGCTCCTTTCTCAACTCTCCTATACCAGGTAACTGATTATGGACACTTCCTTTTTTCATATTCTTTCACTTAATTCATCTGTAAAATGGGAATCATATTATTTGTATTGCATAATTCATAGGATCATAAGCATTGCTCTTAGTAAACATTAAAATGCTATGAAATAGGAATTATCTCTAACACTATACGACTTTTTTAATTCACGCTCTCGACGTCTAAACACAAAAAGATGCCATCCTTCACAAAAAAATTCATCACAGATTCCATTAAGTAGAGAACTGCATCAGACCATAATATAATCTGTTCTTCTTGCTAGTAACAGCTAGATTTCAAGATTCACAAAGGCTCTCCAAGGCAGGCAATGCAGTAACTATTATTCCTCTTTAGAGTTAAGAAAACTGTTATAGTTTCGTTGGGGAGGGGGAGTTCACAGGGGGAAGAGATTTGTCCTTGGACATACAGACTGTGGGATTTGAACCCAGATCTTCTGAATCTAATCTAGTGTTCTTTCTACTATCAAGTAATTAGCACCATAGGGTTTCTCTAACAAAGCCTTAGGGCACTGATTCCTTGGACACGATAAGAGCCTTGTATTTTAAGCTAAAATTTTAAAACAGGACTTTATCAATCAAATATAAGAAAATCTCTTCACTATTTTTTCCCATTAAAAAGTCAGACTATGGGGGGCAGCTAGGTGGTGCAATGGATAGAGCACCTGCCCTGAAATCAGGAGGACCTGAGTTCAAATCTGGCCTCAGACTAAACACTTGACACTAACTGTGTGACCCTGGGCAAGTCACTTAACCCCAATTGCCTTTAAAAAAAGAGTCAAACTATAATCATAAACTAGAGATCATTAATGTGGCTCTGTAATGACCTAATATGGGACAAAAATGCAAAGTGATCGAGAAAAAACCCAGAAAACCCTGTTATTATGCACTGTTTAAAATGGAAGTTTATTGACCCGACTGGACTAAGAATCAGCAAAATCTCTTACTATAACCTTTCCTTCTCTCTTTCCTCTATCATTAATAATAGCTGATTAACATAAATAATAAAAAAGATTGGACCACTTCACTCCCTTAACTCAAAAATCTCCAGTGGCTCCCTATTTCCCCTAGGATATAACACAAATCATCTGCCTAGAATTTTAAAGTTCCCCATGAACGTACTTCCTATCTACATTTCTGGTCTTCTATTTATCCCCTTTATACACTCTTCATTCCAGTTTAACTGGCTTACTAGTTGTTTCCCTCCATCTCTTGCCTCACTGAGCCACAGACTAATTGCTCATCTGTATAGTTAAGGGGAATTTCCTCACTAGGAGTTTCCTACACCAAAAAAATCAGGTCTTACAGATGTAGGGAACCCCTAGTGAAAGAACCTTCCCCATGCAGATCAGCAACTGCTCTGCTTCTTCTAATGTGTGTGTATGTATTTTAGCAAAAATATGTGCTCACATTTTTTCCCAAACTCTATTTTTTTTTCTTTTAGTTTTCAACATTCACTTTTACAAGATTTTGAGTTCCAAATCTTTCTCCTTCCCTTCCTCCCCAAGATAGCAAGCAATATGATATAGGTTACACATATACAATCATAGTAATCATACTTCCACATTAGTCATGTTGTGAAAGAAGAATCAGAACAAAAGGGGAAAGCTACGTGAAAGAAAAAACAAGCAGAAAAAAAGTGAAAATAGTGTGTTTCCATCTGCATTCACACTCCGCAGTTCTTCCTCTGCATGTGGATAGCATTTTCCATCATGTGTCTTTTGGAATTGTCTTGAATCATTGTATTGCTGAGAAGAGCTAAGTTTATCACAGTTGATCACTGCACAATGTTGCTGTTACTGTGTACAACATCCTGATTTTGCTCATTTCACTTTGCATCATTTCATATAAGTTTTTCTAGGTTTTTTTGAAATCTATCTGCTTATCATTTCTAACATATGCTCACATTTCTGTAGCACTTTATAGTTTACAAGTTGCTTTCTTCTTAATAATCTTGTGATGTTACAAATATTATCACCATCACATTGATCAAGAAGTTGGATTCTGAGGTAAAAAAAGATAAAACTAAGGTTCAGAAAGGGAAAGTGATTTATTGAAAGCCACCCTGAGACTCAAATCCAGGGCTTCTGAATTCACGTTCAGTCCATCATACTGCCTTTTATTTTTAGCAATTAAAGATAAAA